CTCATCAGCAAGCAAACATTTCAGAGAAGGGGGAATGGAAGAATTCAGGGAGAGGCTTAAGAAATATGTGGTGAGCATCATAAGAGGTAAGGGCCCTCAGTCTTTCATTTGGCAGAGTATGTCGTCTTCTGAGTTGCAAGATTTCATGCAAACTAGCACTCCAAGACCAAAAAGAGTGGTGGTGGTGGTGGGGAGAGGTAGGATGATGGGTGGGTGGATGGATGGAAGGAAATAATATAAATAAATATACTATCTATTTTATACCTTATCTGATTTCCTTGCTGTGTGCCCCTCTAAACTCACATGTAGAAACTCTAATGCCCAATGTGATGGTATTAGGAGGTGGGACTTTTTGGAGGTGATTAGGTCATGAGAGCAGAGTCTTCATGAATGAAATTAATGCCCTTATAAAAGAGGCCTCACAGAGGCTCCCTTTACTTTGTGAGGATATGAGAAGTCTACAATGCAGAAGAGGGCCCTCACCTGACCCTGGACTTCCAGCCTCCAGAACTGTGAGACCTGGAGTCCTGTTGTTTATAAGCCACCCTGCTCCTTCCTTCCTTTCCTTTCTTTTCCTTCCTTCCTTTCTTTCTTTCTGTGTGTAGGCGGGACTTAAAACTCGAGACCCTGAGATCACCACCTGATCTGAGATCAAGAGTTGGAAGCTTAACTGACTGAGCCACCCAGATGCCCCTAGTTGTACTTTTTTCTACTTTCCAGAGAAAAATTCCTATTTTAATAGTCCTTATTAGGATTTTTCATTGGTTGGTCCCTTATATTAGACCATCAACACTGAAGGTAGTAGAATAAACTTGACTGACAGTGTAAGGACAGGGTTATTTCACTCAACTTTATGTCCTTGGTACTAAGAAAAGGGCAGCCTTTAAGGAAACATATGTAAGAGCCACATTCACGAAAAAGCAGACCTGGGAGCACATCAGAGGATTAAAACAACAGAGGTAGAAGTTTGTCATTGAGGATTGGGTCCAGGTGCACTCATAAACCTTCCCCAGGGGCTCACCCTCACCATTATCTTGGTGTTTAAAAGGCCCATTTAGATGACTGGCTGCAAACACACTGGGATGCTAAGTGAGATCTCCCTCTCTGATCTCAGAAACCATCTGCCTTGGCTCTGGAGCAATTATTTATAGCAGATAGGACTGATGTGGTGTCAAGACCAAGTCCCAGAGACTTAATTCCTCCAAAGATGGCAAAAGTGTCTGTTGGATACACAACAAAGAGGACCCAGAAACCCAAACTGGGCGGGTTGCAGCAGATGCTCTTTAAGAAGGGTCACCAGCGCTCAGAATGTCAGAGCTGAAGTAAGGGTGCGTCACACAATCAAATGTGCAAAGACAAGTGCAAAGGTACTTCTGACAGTGGGTCAACACTGTCCACAATTTCCTTTCAGATGCTCTCAACTTCATTTGCTAACTTCCTGCTGACTAGGTGCAGTCCCATGACCCCACTGGATAATGTGACCTGAGGCTGCATATTCCATGTCAAAATTTGGAAGGAAAAAAAGATCTTCACTGTGGTAAACAATCTTTTATTTGTTAAAGCACCTTCCAACCCGCCCGTGCTGTTCAGCTTCACCAAAAAACGACATGGCTATATATAACTCGTGAGTCTAACTTACAGCTTTTGACGAGGTACCTGGGGTTACGAAATAAAAGCTATGTCCCATTTCTCATTTTTAAGTGGTACTTATCCTTTCAAGGACAGTGGTATTTACAGCCTCAAAAGGCAGAACTATATATTATGAACTTCAGAATGCTGTTAAAGAATTTTTTAATTTTTTTTTTTGGCGGGGGGTGGGCTGCCTCGTGGTGGCCTGCCTCGTGGTGGCCAGAGAAGCAGAAGCAGAGCATAGTATTTAGCAAACAGCCTCAGCCAGGAAGCAGTAGGTGATGTGGACAGCAGAAGCCCCAAGCTGGTAGCCAGTTCCATGAGTACGTGCAACAGTGGAGCCCCAAAAGTGGCATGGGCACGTCTTATTCAGGTTTTCTAACCCACCCACATAAAGCAAGATCAGATTAATAACAAAGCCAAAAAAAAAAAAAATCAGCTAACAAACTCATTCAGCTGGGCAAAACATGCTATGAGATCTCCTATTGGGAAAAAATTCCGTATTTCCTATGGGGAATCTGGTTCTGCCTTATTTTAAGCAGTACAGACTTAGAGTTACAAAAAATAAATCAGAGGGTTACCTCTTCATGAAAGAATTCACTACAGAATTTCCTTAAAATGTAATTTCCCTGGTTCATTTCAAATATAGATTTATATAAATTCAGTTTATTCAATATTCAGGAATCTCTTTTTGGAAAAATGAGAAAACAGGCTCTGGAAGGTAGGAACAGCCAATGTTCAAGGTCGGCCAATAGTTTCTGCATACTACCCCAAAGACATTGGGATAATGATTTACATACAATATGCTTTAAAAATATGTATTATGTATATATATTCACTTCCTTACGACCCCAGAACTTTTCTGCATTTCTCATTATCTGGCTTGGAAAGCTATCTGCTCAGCTTTTGTGGCTGAGGAAAGGGGCAAGCTTTTCTTTAGAAGTTTCCCTTTAAGTGGTCTGGTCCAGGCGATATTTTTAAATCGTACTTAAATCTCACCCCATGAAAGGGTGGGAACTAAAACTGGCTGCTGAGCTAGTTAACTCCAGGTGTCCCCAGTTCATCCAAGCCGATGAAGAAATACCCTCATGTATGCACGAAGCCACACACAGCAGGTTCTGCCCGCACGGCCAAGGCAGAGTAATTCAGGAAATAAACTATCCCCAACTCAGGAGAAAAGTTATAGCAACACGTTAATCAGGTGGACAGAGATAAAATCCTTTAACAAACAAACGCTGGCGTCTAAGTACAGTCCTGTTTAGGTTGTGCACTAGGAGGGTGTGTGGCGTTGCCTTCGCTAGATCAGGTGGGATAGCGGGAGGGCAAAGGGCCGATAACAGGGAGCAGGCAGAATACACGGAGACCTGGGGTTCGGCCGCACCGAGCGGTTCTTGAGTTGCCTAGGGCTTCACGGGCCTAATAGTTACTACAGAGAAATATAACGGGATCTCCCCACCTCCCGACAGTACTAACGTGGAAATATTATATTCCTGCCAAAAATGAAAACGCATTTTATTGATCATATTACACCTGTTTTACCAGTAAATCTGACATATACAATCTATTCCTTACTAAATAAAATGGGCAAAAGAAATACCAAAATATTCATTTAAAAACATACTTATTAAGAAGAAAACTCATCTCAGGGCGCCTGGGTGGCTCAGTTGGTTAAGCAACTGCCTTCAGCTCAGGTCATGATCCTGGAGTCCCTGGGTCGAGTCCCGCATTGGGCTCCCTGCTCGGCAGGGAGTCTGCTTCTCCCTCTGACCCTCCCCCTTCTCATGTACTCGCTTTCTCTCATTCTCTCTCTCTCAAATAAATAAATAAAATCTTAAAAAAAAAAAAAGAAGAAAACTCATCTCTAGGGAGAGGCCCAGGATGGGTTTGGACGGCAGGGCTAGGGGGGAAAGGGTTGGAGGGAGATTTGCTTTCTACTTTATATCCTTTTGTGTCAGTTTGAGTATAATATGTATGTATTACTTATTCAAAGAGATATGCATGGATTCATCACATTTTTATAAATCAAAACACAGAAAGTTTTACCAAAAAATGGTAATGAGTAGTGACATCAAAATATAGGGCACCTGGGTGGCTCAGTAGGTTAAGTGACTCTTGATTTTGGCTCAGGTCATGATCTCAGGGTTGTGAGATCGAGCTCTGCGTGGACATGGAGCCTGCTTAAGATTCTCTCTCCCTCTGCCCCTCCCCTTCTCTAAAGTACACACACACATACACACACACACAATGAATAATCAAAGATCCATCATCCAAGCAAAAACTAACATTCTAATTTTTTTAAAATTATGAGTAGACATGAACATGGTTAGAATAAAGCAAAACCTAAATTGTCCTAGACTAATTGATACATATTGTTGTCTAGCATTCCATTAAATGATGATGATGATCATAATAATAACAGTTCATACTTAGTAGGTACCAGACACTGGCCTAAATCCTGTTCTTTTTAAAAAAAATGTTTATTTTATAATTTAGCAGATTTGGGAGAGAAAGAGCGAGCATGCATGTGAGCTGGGGCGATGGAGAGGGAGAAAGGGAGAGAATCTTTTTTTTTTTTTTTAAGATTTTATTTATTTATTTGACAGAGAGAGCGAGCACAAGCAAAGGGAGTAGTAGAGGGAGAGGGAGAAGCAGGCTCCCTGCTGAGCAGAGAGCCTGCTCCATCCCAGGATGGAGATCATGACCTGAGCTGAAGGCAGATGCTTAACCATCTGAGCCACCCAGGCGTCCCAAGACAGAGAATCTTAAAGCAGACTGTGCCGAGTGCAGAGCCCAACTTGGGGCTCAAACTCACGACCCTGAGATCATGACCTGAGCCGAAATCAAGAGTCGGATGCTTAACCAACTGAGCCACCCACACTCCCCTAGATCCTGTTACAGTATTTCTAAATGCTGCTACAGTGTTGTTGGTCTAATAAGCATTTATAGGGGCACCTGGGTGGCTCAGTCATTAAGCGTCTGCCTTCGGCTCAGGACATGATCCCAGGATCCTGGGATCGAGCCCCACATCAGGCTCCCTGCTCGGCAGAGAGCCTGCTTCTCTCTCTCCTACTCCCCGTGCTTGTGTTCCCTCTCACTGTGTCTCTCTCTCTCTCTGTCAAATAAATAAATAAATAAAATCTTTAAAAAAAAAAATAAGCATTTATAAAAAATACTCAAGGTAGAGAAAATCCTGGTGAAAATGAAACACTGAGAAAAACTTGAAAGCTGGCCAGAATATACATGCATATCTGTAATTATGTTTTTTTCCATACCACAAAGAAGCCAATTCTTCCACAGAAGTGATAAAGGCCATAATGAGGCTCAACAAGGAACTCTGTGACAGCGGATATACTTCACTTCTAGGAACTTACCAAAGGTGTGTCTTTTCCTCCCACAATGCTGAGACCAAGACCTGAACGTCCCTTGGATATTTCTATAATCATTTCCTGGCCAGGAACAATGGGACACGTGGCTGGGTCCACTGACAGAGGGGCCTGGAAACCACCTGGAGAAGGATGAAACACAGAATGATGGGCAAGCAGGGGATGCAGCCCGGCACGCACACTCCGTTAGTTGGGGAGCACAGGGTTTACACATGTTTGTCATTTCACTCTTTTCCTGCTGAGCACCATGCAGCAAAGAGCTGGGTCCTTAACACCCTTTCAGGAAGGGATGAAACCCGACGCTTTTGAGATGAAAACAGTAACTACCCCCCTTACTCAATCATCTATTTTAAGTGTACTTGAAATTTTTTTAAGCTTAAAACATACCCTGAAAACTCATACGGAAAGATGTAAGATGATTAAATGATTAAGTACATATAGGCGTCTGTTATAATGAAAATGAAGACTGGTATGACAGAAGATTCTGGGTTATAGTTAGAAGATACTAAGAAGAATTAGTGCTTAAATACTTTCAGTTAGAGCATATCATGAATTAAGATATATAAAGGATTTCATCAATAAAGTATGATGTTAAGATAAGAATTACCTAACAATGATCCCAAAACATATGCATAGTTAAAAAAAACAACAAAACTGTCATAAACACAACATTCAAGAACTAATTGCCGGGTCCACAGCTGAAAAACTTGTTAAAGGAGTTATTCCTACTTTATAAAGGTTTACTTTTTAAATTTTTAAAAAAGATTTAATTTTTTATGTTTAATTTAAATTTTTAACATTAAATTTTTTTTAATGTAACCTCTACCCTCAAGGTGGGGCTGGAACTCACAACCTGGAGACCAAGAGTCTCATGCTCTACTGACTGAGCCAGCCAGGTGTCCCGTGGTTTACTTTTTAAAATCATTGTTTTATTTATTTATTTTTCTTAAGTAGGTTCCATGTCCAGCATGGAGCCCAACGTGGGGCTTGAACTCACGACCCTGAGATCAAGATCTGAGCTGAAATCAAGAGTCGGTTACTCAACCAACTAAGCTACCCAGGTTTCCCCAAATCACTGTTTTAGATTGGGTTTCTTTAAAAAAATGAGAGAAAAAAATATTTACTGGCTAGGAAAAGATGTTTAATACAACCCCCTTATCCAGCATAACTTCTACATATGTGTATTTTCCAGATGACTGAACCCAACTAATTGGAAAATAAAATATTCAAAATGTTAGCTTCAAGAGCTTCTTGTACAAATAAGGAGCCTCCAAAGAATGTCATCTTTTTTGACAACTAAGTTCGATCATCATGAGTACTGACTCTTACCCTGGGATAGAATTTAGTTAAGGGCTGAGAATAAAGGGCCCCACCTTTTGGCCAGCTGCAGCTAATGCACAGGGGCCAAACTGGGATCCTCAAAGCTCATTAAACATCTGTCCCAGCAAGGGCCCCCACACTATGGACTACAGGCTAAGAATGATTTTCACATTTTCAAAAGGTTGAAAAAAAAAATGAAAAGAAAAATAACATTTCAAGACATGTGAAAATTACATGAAATTCAAATTTCAATGTCCATAAATGAAGTTGTATTGGAACACAGCCCTGCTAATCCATTTACTTCCAGTCTACGGCTGTTAGCATCCCGCGACAGCGGAGCTGAGTACTTGCAACAGAGACCATATGGTCCACAAGCCTTAAATATTTACTATCTGGCTCTTTACAGAAAAAGTTTGCCAATCCCTGATATTCAACAAAAGGAGAGAGGTTCTAGGTAAGCCTGTGGAGGGTTCTGCTCTGACTCAGCAAGAATAATAATAAAGCAGGTTTTGGAGTGGTGGGGACGTGGATTTAAGCTCCCCAGAAGGGAATTAATAGGTGGGTAAAAATGGAGGCTCATTCCTCATCCGAAAAATGCACGTAGCGAGCTGCTTTCTAATAGGAAGTAAATGAACAATGTGTGTGTGGTGCCCAGTCCAGCAACTGGCATAACGCATACAGTTGCTCTTTCTGACCGCATGGCATTTATTAAGCTAATGGCCTCCTAGTTAAGAGTGAGAAATTTAGTGACACAACCTCGGTAACAATAAAAAATGCCCTATTAGAAGGAGAGTATTAAAGGGGCGCCTGGGTGGCTCAGTCGGTTAAGCGACTGCCTTCGGCTCAGGTCATGATCCTGGAGTCCCGGGATCGAGTCCCACATCGGGCTCCCTGCTCGGCAGGGAGCCTGCTTCTCCCTCTGACCCTCCCCCCTCTCATGAGCTCTCTCTCTCTCTCATTCTGTCTCAAATAAATAAATAAAATCTTTAAAAAAAAAAAAAAAAGGAGAGTATTAAATTATAAACCTAGGGGCGCCTGAGTGGCTCAGTTAGTTAAGCGACTGCCTTTGGCTCAGGTCATGATCCTGGAGTCCCAGGATCGAGTCCCGCATCGGGCTCTCTGCTCGGCAGGGAGTCTGCTTCTCCCTCTGACCTTCCTCCCTCTCATGCTCTCTGTCTCTCATTCTCTCTGTCTCAAATAAATAAATAAAATCTTTAAAAAAAAAAAAAATTATAAACCTAATCTGACTCTAGATCTTTTGGCAGCAAATGTATTTCACCCTCCATTTTCCATTCATTTACAATAAAAACAATGTGCAATAGTGCCTAATTTCATAAATGCTTTACAAAGTTTATACTCCTTTTGTAAATGACTAGTTAGCCTCTTGAGTGAGAAGAGAGATGCTGGGGATGGCATTTCTCTTCTTTCACTTCTGCCTCACCCTGGCCAGTCCTGAGTCAGGGTTGGTATGTATTTCTCCCATACGGGCCAGCCCAAACCCTGATATACCAAGCCCCCGGTAAACGTTTGGTAAGTAGATGACCAAATGAGTAGAATTTCCATAGATTAAATTATGGGGGATTAATTTGTTATCAAGATATAAATATGTGATGCATCTTATCAAAACTCAATTGGTCAACATTGTGGTTACTTTCTTAGTAAAAAGCCAGGTGATCAGTATTTTGAGCTTTACAGACCATACATTCTCTGCTGAACTACTCAATGCTATCCTCATTGTGTGAAAGCAACCTTAAGACTACAGGTAAACAAAGGAGTAGTCCAATAAAATTTTATTTATGGTCAGGGAAGTCTGGGTTTCAGATAATTTTCATGAAATACTCCTTTGACTTTTTCCAACCTCTTAAAAATATGAAAACCATTTTCAGCTTGCAGACCACACAAAAACAGATGGTGGGCCAAATCTGACCCATGGGTCAAAGTTTGCTGACCACATTCATCAAGTATTTTAGTAAAAACCCAGTACTTTAGAATAATACCTGCTTGCTAAAGTTTTTATTGAGTTAATATTTCTGAAAAAATATGCACAAGACAAATACATAAAGGTGTTAGGCCTGCTAAATTCATGCAGAGTTGTGCTTCGCCACTGGTGAGCCCAGTGCTTTAAATAGGCCACTTTTTTTTATGGACTTACATCACATAAAAGCAAAGTGGAAATACTCATTATTCATTTTGCAATTCTATTTTCAACTGCCAGTCAGCATAATTCATGCCAGGAATTCAAAGAGAGAAAGCGAATACTCATGTCTTTAAGCACTGAAAATTAACAGTCTTCAAATCACTTACATCAACATATGCAAGGCTAACAATTTGACTGAATATGATTTTTAGGAGATAATACTCATACACTAAACACAATCTTTTGGAGCGATTACAGAATAATTTGTAAGCTTCATATGCAAACAGTATTTACTGAGGGCCTTTTTTTTGTTCTAGCACTTTCATACTCAATAAGCCCTGGGCAATCCCAGTAGCAGGTGAGGAAAATGGTGACCTGCCCACGTCCTGGAGCTAAGGAAGTGGAGGAGGGATGCAGAGCCAGGCTTCCTGACTCCTGGTCCAGTGCTCTTTCCAGGATATCATCATCCCCTCCTTTTCTCATGTTGGAGGAGTCAATTTCAGTTTGGCTCACAGAAAGAATCATACCATAGCTTGTGAAATCCACATCCGTGGAATGGTATGATGGAGCTGGTGCTAAAGATATCTCTTGTGAACTGAAGGAGACTTTTGTTGAATATTTTTGCTGTTTCATCTGGCTGACAGCCTACAAAAGAAAGGAAAATTAGAGGAATGTCAAAGAGGAGAACGAAAACCAAAGGATAAGACTTTAAAACTGGTGTGTTGTTACCAAAACAATGGTGGCACTCCAATAATGTTGTCTGAGAATTTAGAGCGGGAGAGGAGGCAGGAGGAAGTTAGGATGATTTCTGTCCCATCCCCCATGCTTCCCTATTTAACTTGACAGCTAAGATGTTCAGTGAAGGATGGATGAAGGAAGGGAAGGATAACAGCTGATGATACTCTATCATTGTGGTCTGTATACAATGCTGGGGCTGGGAAGCAGAACAAAAATTTTTACAATTTCCATTGATTCTGATGAAATCGATGTGAAGTCCACATACCCATGTTGTGCCCACTGAAAAGCAATCTATGCTGCAGATGTTCTGAGCATACAACAATGTCCTTCTCTTCTGGATACATCCACAATAGTTAAATGCATTAGGCAGGTTAATTGAGCAACATGAGGGCCAGGAAGAGGAAATTAGCATCCACTCAAAGTCTACTAAGTGCCAGGTACACCGAACATTTTAATTCACCTCCAAGAACTATACCTTATTCACCCTTGATTCCCAGTACCTGGAACATAGTGGACCCTCAATAAATGTTTGATGAATGAATGAATGAATTGCTGAATGGATATAGAAGAGCAAAATTGAAGACATGGAAACTCAGAGTTGAAAACGAATTTGTAATTCAATGAAGGTACAGAGACCTTTGCTGTGTGAGCTTTGGAAAGTTAACTCATAATTCTGGATTTTTATGGATAATACCTCCAATGAATATTAGTATTAGAAAACTGAGAAAAACCAAAAGGACTCCATGCTCGCTTAACAGGCAGTTAAGAAACATAGGTAGTGACCTGACCTGCCTTCTGGATCTGTAGTTAGCCAGGGAACCCATCCCCAGCTGGAAGATTCTGGTGGAGGCAGTGAAGCACCAGGCTGTCCCTGGAGTCTAGAAATAGGATCAAGGTAACTGCTCCAGAACAATGACACCTCAAGATTCTGTCAGTGGAAGGCTATGCCTCAATACAAGGCACCGTGCAGTATATAAAAACTAGAACATCAGCCATTGTGTATCTGTGTCATGCTTTCCAGTTTTTAAAAACACTTTTACATCCATGAATTCTTTTAATCCTGAGAACAACCTGGAGAGTTAGACAATATTACTTTCTTTTCCAGATAAAGAAACCATGTCAAGTGGCTTATCTGAAATCACACAGCCATTTAGAGGAAGAGGTCAGATTAAAAGTTAGTAGTAGCTAAAGAACGCTACAAATTATGTTTTTATTTTTATTTTTTATTTTATTTTATATATTTTTAAAAGATTTATCTTTTTGTCAGAGAGAGCGACAGAGCACAAGCAGGAGAACGCCATGGCAGAGGGAGAAGCAGGCTTCCCGCCGAGCAGGGAGCCTGATGTGGGACTCGATCCCAGGACCCTGGGATCATGACCTGAGCCAAAGGCAGACGCTTAACCAACTGAGCCACCCAGGCATCCCTTATTATTTTTTAAAGATTTTATTTTTAAGCAATCTCCACCCCCATTGGGGGCTTTAGCTCATAACCCTGAGATCAAGAGTTGTGAGTTCTTCTGACTGAGCCAGCCAGGTGCCCCAGAACGATACAGATTTAAAATGTTTCTCAAACAGCTGCTAGGCACTGATTCTATGGATGTTCATTTTCTTTTCTGTAGTTTTTCTCACCAACACTTAATAATGACCGTATACCTACTTAAGAAGACTTACTCAAAGACATATTTTCAGAGGGAAGGGGAAAAATGACAAATATGGGTTTACTACCAGAAAACTGAACAATGGAACCACCTAGATATCAATTACTCTGAGGACCATATTTTCTAGTGTCCTTGAAGCTAGATACATCTGCAGGCTAAGTTTTGGTCAGTAGGATGAAAACAGATGCGAACTGTACAGTTTTCAGGTCATTTTCTGCAGGATAAGGATCCTGCCTTCCTCTTCTCCCAAACTGGAATGCAGATGGGATGACAACATCCGAGCAGCCTCAGACCCAAAACTGGACGCATTTTTTTTTGAGGATGGTAATCAGATAAGAAGTGCCTGAGTGTGTGGTACTGTGGAGACAGCGTATCATCCTCACACTGATTACACCCATACTTGATACAGAAGAGAAACTTCTTGGAGAGATTGAGCCTAATCTTAATTCATACAGTACTTATGTTCAACTTTTGTTTTCTATCACCTTTAAAAAGAACATCGATAACAAAGATGCTAAAGTGTTCTTAGCGATTTTAAAAAAAGATGTATTTATTTTTTTAACCACTTTATTTTAATTTTTTAAAGATTTTATTTATTTGTCAGCACAAGCAGAGGGAACAGCAAGCAGAGGCAACAGCAGGCAGAGGGAGCAGACTCTCCGCTAAGCAAAGGGCCCGACACAGGACTCGATCCCAGGACCCTGAGATCAGGACCTGAGCCGAAATCAAGTACTCTTAACTGACTGAGCCACCCAAGCATCCCTATTTATTTGAGAGAGTGACAGAGAGAGCGTGCATGAGTGGGAGGCGAGGGGCAGAAGGAATCTTCAAGCAGACTCCTTGCTGAACCTAGAGCCCTATCCATGAGATCATGACCTGAGCCAGAACCAAGAGACACCTAATTGACTGAGCCACCCAGGTGCCCCAGAATCATGTGATTTTTAAAACAGTAATGTTTGTGCTAATCGTTACATCTCAGCTCCAGGTTGCATCCCATTGCATTGTGCATAATACGTTTCCAACAGATAGTGATAGCACTGAACTCAATTAAAAAATAAGGAAACAGTCCATAAAACCAAGTGAAACATCCAACATACATTTTTAGAGGCTGACCTCTTGTTGGTAGGTGTGGTGATAGATGGAATGTGTGCTCCTGTGACTCACCCATCAGCACAAACCCAAACTACTTAGAATGAAAGATAAGAAAGGTTGGATTTTCTGCTTAATGTCTTCTATTCAAACATGAAGAGTTGGAATGGACTTTCTAGGTTATCCAACCTAACTAAACCAGTGGTTCTCAAACCCTGTCTTCATAACAGAAATTGCCAGGGAGTTTTTTTTTTAAGATGCTGGGATTTCTCCCCCCAGCCCCATCCTAGACCAAATAAATTGGCACCTAGGTGGAGCCCAGGCAAGTTCTATTTAAGAATTACTGCTTAAAGTTAAACCATGGATTCTTCACCCAGGGTAAATGGGTTTCTAAGAGATCCACAAAGGACATTTTGGGAATTATAAAAGTCATGTGTTGTACTAAAATTACGTTTATCAGTGTTTTTTGGGGAAAGAGTCTACAGTTCATTTAGGGTGGGAAAACAAAAATCACCACTCAGAGAAGATATGAACTGCTGAGTTTGCTAGTACTGATTAGCCGTGTGGCCACAGGAGAGTCACTTCACCTCCTTACACCTAAACTTCCTCATCTGTAAATTGGGAGCGATATTTCTAAACCTTGTGAGCTTGTTCAAAAGATCAAAGAGAAAAGGACATAAATAAACCTATCACTATGCCAGGAACAGTTTAAGATTTCAACAGATAATAGCTATTAATGTCTTCATGTCTTTTGATAATAAACGACCAGCCAGCTCCTGATTAAAAACCGTCCGGGTGGTTTGGAACATCTCAAGGGCTGGGGAAGTTCTTCATAATGAGCTGACACAGCCTCACAGAGGTGCTGCCCACTGACGTCGGCTGGTTCTCTTCTGCAGCCATGGAAAAGGGTCATAATCACTTTCCCGAAAGGACAATACTTGATTTAAGCGCTCGTTTTTCGGCATGGAAAAGAAAGGGCAGGTTGTGTTTAGGATTTGTCCTAGTTCTAAAGTTCTATGGTTATAACATTTTAGGGATGTCTGGTATGTGACTTGAGATAAGTGGCAGCATATGAAGCATTAGCACATTAATAGTGAATTCTGGTCTTAAAAAAAAATTTACTTACACATTTCCATTTGATCCAAATCTGGTTATTTTTAAGGCTCTTTCTATACCTACTCATTTAAAAAAAAGTTTTAGATTTGAAAGATTTTATCTATTTATTTATTTGAGAGAGAGAGAGATAGTGACAGAGATGGTGAGAGAGAGCATGGGCAGGGAGGAGAGGGAGAAGTAGGCTTCCCGCTGAGCAGGGAGCCTAATGTGGGACTTGATCCCAGGACCCTGGGATCATGACCTGAGCTGAAGGCAGACGCTTAACTGACTGAGCCACCTAGGCGCCCCTGAAGTTTTTTTTTTTTTAAGATTTTATTTTTAACTAATCTCTACACCAACATGGGGCTCAAACTCAAAACCCTTAGATGAAGAGTTGCATCTTCTACCAACTGAGCCAGCCAGGCACCCCTACACCTACTCATTTTTTTAAAAAAAAATTAGAGAGAGAGCACGTGAGTGAGCAGGGGGTGAGGGAGAGTCTCAAGCAGACTCCCTGCTGAGTGTGGAGCCCGATGGAGGGCTCGATTCCACAAACCTGGGATCATGACCTGAGCCAAAATCAAGAGCTGGATGCTCAACTGACTGAGCCACCCAGGCACCCGTAGACCTAATCATTTTTATTTCGGTTTTTAGCATATAAGTTTGGAGACTTTTCAAAGGCATTTTCTTTGGCAGTGTTTGAAATATCATGTAAGCTCTAGTTCCTTAAACATAAAAATAGCTAATACAGTAATAATGTAAATTTTAGTAGCATGAAGGTATCAACTAGCACAAAGAAATGAGAATCAAGATTTTAAAAAGAAAAAACTCAACAGCAACAGAAGTACAAAAACTTGACAGACAGAAATTTATAGTTTAAGAGAAGTGAACTCAAACTGTAAGGAACACCAAAGTTACTGTATTTATACTTTTATACAACTACAAATTCTCCCACTTAAGATTTTTTATTAACGACATTAAGTAAGACATGGCACTCTTGGAATTTAAGTGCAGGTGTGTTTGTAGGGACGGTTCACTTTTAAACACCTGTTCAGGGTATTGGCCCAGGAAGATGCACAGAGAATATTTCCACACACCTTGCACAGAATCAATGATATGGCTGTGGGTTGACTTCAAATTCTAAGACACACCATAACCTCCCAGCAAGTAATAGAGAGTCTGATTTCATTGCAATCACTTCCTTTTCTTCTGGAACCCATTTATAATGCACACCATCCCAGTTGAGCAAAACCTAAAGGGGAAATTACGTACATTGTCAGTTGGGCACTCCAGTGCCTTCTGGTGACCTGCCACCACGCCCTGACCAGCCACCTGGGAGATGTCGTCCTAAAATGTAAAAGATATAACCAGTTAGTGGCATTGTAGGGCTCAAGTGCTCTCTCCAGCTTTAGCAAACACCATGGAGCTTTGGCTCTATTACAAAAATGACCAAAGCACCAGTCATAAAAGTTCTGTTCATCCGTCTGAACCAAGTCCCTCCCATTAATGAATGCAGCCTTGTCATTTCCAAATGCTTCTTTTGGGCCCTTTCAGATCTATCAGGCTTTAAACCTATCAGATATCCACTGATGGTCACTTCAGCTGGAGTTTTTTCTTCTTTTGCCATTCCAGTAATCTCTGAATCTGTATTTATACTGAATATTTAGTTCTTTCAGGGTTTGAACTCTGATATTAGAACTTTTTTTCCCTCAAAGTCACTAAAGACACTGGAAGATACAGAGTTAAGTTAGTCCTGAATCCCACGGAAAAGTGCAGAGTCCAGATTTTAGAGAGAAATAAACTACCAAAATCACACAGGGAACCAATGCATACCTAAAGGGTGGTTTATTGACACCAAAAAATTGACCAGAATGCTTATGTCTGCTTCCCACCATATCCCATCCTTCTTTACAGGCAAAATTACAGGGGAAATTATCATCTGATGGTTGACTCTCAGGCATGAACTCCTGCATTTGGACTTGGACAAGGCAGGGAACATGGAGACAGACTGATTTGGATAGGAGAAAGGATGGGCTTACTGTAGCCCGTGGTAAATGTCTGAGAGACACAACCTCTCGGGTCTAACATACGGACTGCAGGTAGGTAAGCTATCTGAAGATGATGAGAGGTGTGACTCGTATAGCAAAGTGGTAGTTGTTTGTGACCCTAGTTCCTCGACTCAAGAGTTCTACAACCCTGAGCGGATTATCTGACATCTCCAAGCCTCACTCAGTCTCCTCATTTATAAAATGGGAAAAAATAAAGGTTGTTATGCTCTAGATATGTTGTAAGGATTAAATGAGGCAATATTAGAAAAGCACTTAGCATGGTACCTGGCATACAACAAATACGTAATGAAGATGTTGATGTTGATAGTAAACGGAATCCAGCTCTGATACACCCATATTGCTAACTCTATTGTAGAGTTGGTGAAAATAATTACACTTTCTCCTTTGGACAGGACACTTTCTCCTTTGGGGAATGCTGGAGTACTATCTGATATCTGCCGCCCCCACCCTGGTTTCTTTTTTGAACATACTGACATACCCTGAGATAATGATCAGGTCATGCCCAGCCACTCATTATTATTATTAGATTAGGTTACAATCTCATCCTGTCTCATCAATTCCCTACTGGTTTACACCTGAGAAATTTAACCCCAGCACATAATCCTGAGCCTGCAGCCTAGGTCCCCAGGGTTATTGTGATTTCCCTTATCTGCCCACTTATTTTTTAGGATCATAGCTCTTTCTCATTTAGATATAGATTCTCTCTCAGTTTCTGCCATATTGGACAAACACTCTAGAACTCCTCCCAACAACCCCCCCCCCCACCGAGGCCCCAAATTGTGCTCCTAAACAGATTACATGACATGAATTCACAAGTTACTTCTTGCGTAATTCTTCCCTGAGCCCCTGGGCAGTGCCCCTTCCATAGCATGACTAAGTTATTTTCTTAGTTATCTAAGTTATCTTCTTCTAAGTTATGCAACACTGTTTTGTATCTTTTTATGTGTCTGTCTCCCATATACTAGTATACTAGTATGACTTGACTTTTTTTTTTTTTAAGGTTTTATTTATTTATTTGACAGACACAGCGAGAGAGGGAACACAAGCAGGGGGAGTGGGAGAGGGCGAAGCAGGCTTCCCGCGGAGCATGGAGCCAAATGTGGGGCTCGATCCCAGGACCCTGGTTTCACGACCCGAGCCGAAGGCAGACGCTTAACGCCTGAGCCACCTTGTCTTATTTGTTTCTTCAACATATGGCAGAATAGACTGTGAGCTTGATAAAGGGCCAGGGCTGAATGAATCAAAGTTCGGGAACTCAAATCTTAAATGCACCTGGGTGGATGTCAGAGACAGCCGTGAAAGGAAGGATGCCCAGTGAAGGTGATCCTGTGGCTTCCACTTAAAAGGATCAAAGTTGAAAAAAGACAGACATGGGAAGGTCAATAAATGGTGCTCATGGGGAATTTTTAGAATCAAACTTCTAACCTGCCTTATAAATGGAAACCACTGGTATTACTCCTTCCAGTGTGGATCAAACAGCCTTCCGAAGAGCCACAGTGCCTCTACCTGAAAATGAAACCGCATGTCTGCAAGTCTACCTTTGTTTAAACCCAGATTAACTAGCATGGGACAAAGGAGCTGACTTCCCCAGTTAAAGACTTAAAAACCCAATTTGCATGTCACACAGAGCTACTACTAATTGGTTGAATTCACCCTCATTTGCACTTGTACATAAAAAGGGCACTGGAATAGTCGCCAGAAAAATCTGGGTTCAGACTGGTTCCACCACTTATATTAGCAGCAGTAGTGCTAGGAAACGTTCATTTTTAGCAACAGTAAGAATACAATAACAGCTACCTAAATAAGGGGTTGCCAGCAAAGTTGAATTCAACACATGCTTACAGAGGATCTACTCCATGCCAGCAAGGAAGACGACTAACCGAGCCTTGTGCTCGTGACATTTACATATCTGGTGCGACAGATAGCAGAGAACAGCTCTGGAAACCTTGAATTATAACCGAATGTTATCTGTAGGAAGGTGTGTGGCAGATAGCAGGTGCCTGAGGAGTGACAGTTTCCTTCCCTTTCTCTTGTCCTCAAAATGTGGAAGGATGAGATGAGGAAATCAGAGCTCTGAAAAGCATCTGGTCTAACACCCTGTCCCATTTCTTTCTTTTTTAAAAGGATTTGCTTATTTGAGAGAGAGAGAGAGCATGAGCATAGAGGGAGAGTGAAGGGAGAAGCAGACTCCCTGCTTTGCAGAGAGCTCGATGCGGAACTCAATCCCAGGACCCTGAGATCACGACCTGAATCAAAGGCAGATGCTTAACTCGACTGAACCACCCAGGTGGCCCCTGTCCCACTTCTTATACGATTACCCTTAAACCTCTGGGCCAAGGGACCGGGCCAGTGCATGATGACGATGACGACAGCTAAAGCTTACTGAGCACTGACTGTGCCAATTACTGAGCTAGATACCATCCCCATTTCAGATGCCGATGTACACAACAGAGCTATGGTATAAGAGTCATTGCAGAGTTAACTGGGGCGTGAGAGGCTAAAGCATATGCTGAACCAGAACTTAATCCAGACGTATTGTGTGCAGAGCCCCTGCTCTTAACCGAGGACAAGCCACAAGGGAAAGGCAAAGTGCTGTTCACCTGCTCCAAACGACACGCATGAGATTCTTAGGAGCCTGCCTCAACATAGTGATTCCATTTTTAGATACAACATTAAGTCAGAACAAGTCATGTCAGCTTATTTTGAGCTTGGGCAGGCAAAAAAAATTCATGGCACTAGCCACCACAGTGACCTGGGGTGCGTCACTTTCTTCCGTGTTTTGTGTTTAAACATAAATTTGGAACTTGCTAATCTTCCAACTACTGCACCGAGGGAGTTCTTAGTGCCTTCAAAGCTGAGGTTCTGGGACATTCTAAAGTGTTGACTTTGCACAGGAGACCCCTAAATAAGAAGGCTGAGGAAGGAGTGGGGAAAGATCCATTTTGTGGAGCAAACCAACAGAACACATTCTGCGTGCGTTATGTTATAATCACCAGCACAGCACTATAAGCTCCTGAAAGAAAATGCTTTGTGGGCCAAGCAAATTACTCTGATCAAGAGAAGGAGCTTTCGAGCAGTGGACATAAAAAGCAACACTGGGAATATTCTATATAATAGATAATGGGGGAATATTCTATATAAAAGATAATGGGGATGCCCAGTTTACAATCACCAAAGCTGGTTGACTTCTATCCCAAAGTTGGATGATCAACATGCTTGGTCTTTCCAGCCAAATTAATTGGTCCAAGGGTAGACATCTGAACTACGTAAGAACATCCTGTGGATTTTCCAAAGTGGACTCAAGGGAAGAGAGGTAGCCCCTTTCTGGCCTAGAGGCTTAGGAGCTTTTGGTGGCCACACTCCCAATAAGCTGAGGAAGCAATCTGCGGGAGAAGTCAAAGAGACATCCAGATACCTCTGGCAGCACCAGGATTCAGGGTCCAACTGTCCCTGAGGCTGTCAATCCTGCCTTTCCTGTAGGTATGTAAAAAGAGCCTGGAGCCTATCAGTAAATTTTCCTTTGTCTGTAAGGTCAAGCTTTATCAGGTTTTGTCACCTGCAATCAAGAGTCTACTGATTAAAATGAAGTGGAGCCCAGAAAAGATCAGGGTAACAAACTCACAGGGGTCAAGCCATAAGGTAGCTAAGTGGAGATGAAGAAAGTGAACGGAGCATAAGACAGCAAACTAGAGAGAGCTGCTTAGCCTAAAGATAGTCAAATCCAATGATTTTTTTTTTAAAGATGCCTGTCAGACACTGATTGTCTCCTGCTGATTTGGGTCCTTGGACTCCCGCTCCGTGGCACGTGGATACAATAGAAAAGGACAGCCTTTGCCTGAGTCAGTCCCACCCTAACTCCTCCCCCACCTGAGCCCCTGGATTAGCTGAAATCCTATCAGCAAGAGCTCCCCAGCACCTTCCTGTGCCCTTCTGCAGTACTTGGCAACACTAGGAATTACTTAGGTAAAGTTGGATGCCAGTCCTGGCTGTGACACGTAGTTGCGTCTCTGTGCCTCAGTTTCCTTATCAATCAAATGGGGACAGTAATAGGCTCAATGTCCTATAAAACATAAATCAATACACTTAGAATGATGCCTTCTGGAACACAGAGGAAATGCCATGAAAACGTTAGCTGGCATGATTCTTGGCAGTTCTGAAAGCACCGTCGAGATAAGATTTATGTGTCTTGTTCACTACGGTATGTCCTGTGGCTGGCATTGTGTCTGGGACATAACAGGCCTTCAGTACTAAACTTGCTTAATTTCTGCTCCCAATATG